CGCGCGTTCTACTGGCTGCCGAGCGCAGCGAAGGCGGCGTCGATTCGCTAAAATTGCAATATGTGGTGTATACACTGTATGTGGTCAACACATCATACTTAAAAGCACCGTTCAAATTTCATTTTGCCCCCATTTTCAAAACGGAAGCCGTGGAACGCCACGTTACTCAAGGTACGCTGCGTGTATGCATGTTAGTTTGCATTAGTAGCTAGCAAGACACACATACACAGATAGTCCGAGGTTCCTGGGGCTGCTTAGGGGGTAGCTTATAACTTGCGGGATTTTATCCTGCAAGTAGGTAGCCGTGCTATGGGGATTTAGTTCCAGAGCCCTCTGGGTTCTTGGGGCTTTATCCCACCGCCCACTCTGCGCGAGAGCACATTTGGCACCTGGTCCATTGACCGCAAACCCGACAGCGAACCAGTTGAGCCGGTCGTTAATGGTTATTGATGGGCACGCACATTGCGTGCGTGCAGTTGGTCAGGAGGGGTACCGTAACTGGCCTCTTTTAACCGACAGATGGGATGGGGGCTGTAATAGCCTATCAATAACCAGCCTTTGCAATTAACGGCCGCCTTTTTGGCAAAAGGATATCGCACCTCAAGCTACAGTACTATCCGGGGGCCCAACCCTGGAGATTCGACTGCACAATTTGCAAACTAAAACCGCTCCGGACCTCACGGCCCGTGACTGTGGGATAAGTGATCGGAGATAACCTTGATGGGAGCAAGCAATCCCGGGTAGTACGCAGATGTCCCTACACCCTACATTATGAAAACTACTGCTACGTGCGGTGTACTTAGACTATGTCTAACGCGTCACGTTTTCGTGTTCGCAGGCTAATGGCTCGAACTAAGCGGAAAAGGACGCGGGAAGAACTTGAGGAGGCTCTGCGCGAGAATGAACTGATCAATGCGACACCCATGCAAGAGAAGAAGGAAGCACGGAAGCGACGTATGAACAAGCGCAGGAGGAAGCGCTGCGACTTGAACAAAGCGCTTCAAGCCCTCAGTGTGCACCAAGAAGCAACTGCGGTTACGGAAGTTACGGAAGGTCAAGCTGGCCGTTTTGAAGAGCGGGAGGAAAAGACGGAAGAGTCCGATCCTGTTATATTTCAGCGCCGGTTTGCGGCCCAGATGGAGGCAGCGTATCAAGCGGGAGCTACCGAGGTGGCTTCATTGGCAGTGCTTTTAATACCTCCAGCTCCTGTTCAAGAAGCGATTCCGGTGTCAGCTGCGCAACGAGCTCGCGAAAGACGAGCTAACAGGACACTGTCTCAGACAGATCGCGACCGTACATGCGACGCACAGAGATCTCGCACAAGACGAGCTAATATGTCACTCTCTCAGCGTGATCGTGCGAGGAAAAAGGACGCAGAGCGCAAGCGTGCCCGAAGAGCTCGGTTACGTGGAGAAGATCTTCACGAACAACGAATGAATTATCGGCAGCAGCAAACAGCACACAGGGCGGAGCTAAATGAACAGCAGCGACAATACGAACGCGACCTAAACCGCCAACAGCATGCAGTTCGCCGAGCGGAGCTACCACAAGAAGACCGGGACGCTGAACGTGAGCTAAACCGCCACCAGCACGCCGATCGACGGGCCGATCTGTCGGGACAAGAACAAAATGCTGAACGCGAGCTGGACCGACAACGGCATACTGATCGACGAGCTGAGCAGACACAAGACGAGCGCCAGTACGAGCTCGAGCGGGTGCGCACTAGACGACAATGTGTCCGTCATGGACATGCTCTTATTTCCCTCGAAGACTTCGACGCATCAAAGAAATCGCCATCGCTGTGGCGTCTAGCGGTATTGCCTCGCTCTTGCTCATGGGTGGTAGGACAGCTCATTCTACATTCAAGATCCCTTTGAAATTGAACGAGAGCTCGACGTGCGGTATCAGGAAGACTCCCACATTCAGGAGTTGATTAAGCATGCAAGTTTAATTATTTGGGACGAAGCACCTATGGCTCATCGCCACGCATTCGAGGCAGTAGACCGACACTGCGGGACATACTTGACAACGACACCGAGCCTTTTGGGGGGAAAGTGTTTGTACTTTCGGGAGATTTCCG